TCTCAGTTCAGTTCCTGATATTAAGAACTGACACATGAGATGCAGAGTCACACTATGGTAAGGACTTGGTTGTCATCTCTCAATGACAGCAATAAGCACAGCAGTCAGAGATACTGCTTTAGAAATTTTAAAATACCATCAAAAAATGTTCAACCCTACATAAAATTCCAAAATGTCTCCCCGAGGCCCACGAGCAACCTAGTATTTAGACGGTTCTCATTTACAAAGTAAGACTAGTGTGGGTTTAAATGGGCTATTTTAGACTATATTTTCAGTGTGGCTCACAAAAGCCTATTTATTAAACATTCCTTCAGAAATTTCCAATTCCATTAAAAATATCCATTAGTAATATAATTAAAAACAATTTCCAACTGAAATAAAACAACCATATTTAATATAATACAACTTTGCAATTTCTTTAGTGAATGAGGAAAGAAGTTGTGAAACTGAAGTCACTCGGTCGTCTACCTTGAACTGAAGTCGGAACTACATGAGCTCTGCAAGACCCTGCTTTTGGCCGCATTCAGGACAGGAACCGAAGACCCCTCTCTTGCAGGTTCAGCTAGAGGAAATGAGGAGAACTCAAAATTAAAAGAGGAGAACTCAAAATTATACGCTCAGCATGCTTCCAGCATTATTTCAAGAATTCTGGACCATAAAGAAATATTCAACACTTAATCTCAAAATTTTGTGCTACTTTTAGAGAAATCATGGTACGATGTAAGTTAGTATTTTAAATACCAGTACTTTCTAGAGCCACATTTTCTTTAAATTCTTCCTGAAGTATTTTGCCTTTAAAAGAAAAGGACTTTACTAAGGTTAATTGAGGGGAAAGGCATAATATAAAACCCAGGTATTTAAAAATCAAACTAAATTTGAGCATTTAATTTTGCTAACGCTTTCATAGGATTTCAATTTCATATGGTCACCTTGGCTTTTTGAGGAAAGAGTTTCATTGGGGATCATCTAGCCCATGAGGATTGTTCACATTTTTCTAAATAATTCTGGAGGGCAACTCAATTTACTTTTTTTTTTTTTGCCTTTAAGAGCTAGTGCAACAACTAGTGCTCAGTATTTTGAACAGTGGGCTCACCTAATAATGGAGAACAATGTATGTGAAAATCCTACGCTACATGACAAAAGTTGTTAAGTGCTGGTTATGATCATCGATGCCTTAGGAAGGGATCAGGACTTCTTGATAGTAGTCTTTGTGATATAATGCCTCAATAGTCAAGACTGCCATAAGCAGCTTAGAAATAGCAGAAAGGATTAAATACTCATTACCACAGATCTGACAGCACTTTGCCTGGGATTTAACAGACTCCCTTAAGTCAGCGCATTCCATTCTCTAGCAGGACATGCCACCCCCACCTTGGTTACACATTTTTTTCTTCCCTGCTGAGCTCTTTCTCTCTTTCCTTTTGGAGGGAGGGCAGTTACTGGAATAGCAAATGTGGAGCTCAGGAAAGCAGCGGAGTGCTGGAATGCACACCACTGTGTTTCGCGCAGCTGCGGACGGCAGAAAGCAATGGTTCCATAAGTTGTGTGGGCAGAAAGGTCTTGAGTGGGGCGCAACTTATAATTCACAACCATTTTTTCCCCTATGAAAATAAGTATCTTCCCAGGATGATGAACAACAGAAACATGGGGGAAGGGAGACAGCGGACAGTATAAGATATGAAAATAATAATTCACAATTTATCAAGGGTTCATGAGGGTGGGAGGGTGGAGGGGAAAAAAAAGAGCTGATACCAAGGGCTCAAGTGAAAGAGAATGCTTTGAAAAGGATGATGGCAACATATGTACAAATGTGCTTGACACAATGGATGTAAGGATTGTTATAAGAGCTGTAAGAGCCCCCAATAAAATGATTTATTAAAAATTTTTTTAAAGCATCTGTTTTGTTTTTTGTTTTGTTTTCATTTTAATTAATTAATGTATTTATTGCATCTGTTTTTTTATAACAGAAACGAATGAAGATTTGTTTTGCTAACTGAAATACTCCATTAGAGAAAATTCTTTGTTCCTTGTGTCTACGGATTTTTGCAGTAACCTTACTTCTCCTCAGAAAAAAGCCCTGTCAACTTCTAGCACAACCACAGCAAAGAAAACCCTACAGAGCACTTACTCAGTACCAGATGGGGCTGCCATGAACTGCAAACAACTCAACCTCAATGGACTTTATTTCTAATTATAGGTGTTATTGGGTGCATCAGTAGATCATGATATTCTAAGAACCACAAACCTGTTAGGTTTAAAAACACACTTAAAACATTTTACAGGTTTATGGCAAGTTCAAGTCATAGGGCTGAACTATAATGTTTAAATAAATAGAGAGATAAATAAACCTAGACTCTGCTAAGGCATAAAAGGTAGGGACGAGGGTGAAAGAAGCAAAGAGAAGATTGTGGAAAACAGTGAACGCTGAAGTCTCCACACCGTCCAGTTTCAAGCTCAGAGTCAATCTCTCCATTCCCCCTTCTCCTTTCCTAGTCACCTCAGCCGCCTCTCACAGAGGACCCGATGGTTCTACAGGCTGAAATATTAAGAATCAGTAATAACAGATGGAATTCTAAGCAGTGGTGCTTTTCCCTTCCAAAAGAAGAACCATGTGAGTTTATTCCATTTTGTTTGCGTATAGAACATTTAAAATTAAAAGACTGATCACCAAATCATTTACAGGTCAACTGTAAAACAAAGATGTGAATATAAGGGTACAAGGAAACTAGATGAACAGAAACAGAACCACCAGAACAGAAATGACGAGAATATTCATGCACTGTGAAGAATGTAACCCAGGCCTCGGAACAATTTGTGTAGAAATTTGTTGAATGGGAACTGTGGTAGTTACATAATATGCTGTCAATTTGAGACTTACAAGTAAAGGGGTGGAGTTGAGCCTGTCAATCAGGCCACAGCTTGATGACCTTATTAGGAGGTGCTAAGGAGATAACTTGTTGGAGGCAGGACTCTCTGGGAGACATATTGACTCTCTGGGAGACATTGAAGCTGATAAGACACATGGAGCTATGCTAGGCCCCTGAGCTGGAGGAGCCACGTGGAGACTCCTGCCAGCCCTGAGATGCTTACAATGCCACTGGATCCACAAGACTGCCCACCCACTGGCCTATGATCATCCTGCATTCTACATCACTGCATGTGTTTCGTGAGTCTGAAGACTACTTTATAGATTGGTATCAGACATATGCGCTAATATCGGACTTATGGACTTGATCTGGACTGGGCTGGGATGTTTTCTTAATGTATAATTACACTTTATATAACTGCTGTGTAAACCATCACCAAAAAAAAGCAATATTAAAAGGAAGGAAGGGCGGAAGGAAAGGAGGGAGGGAGGGGTTGGTTACCTCCTTGTGGGCAGACAACACGTGGTTGCACAAACGATGGCTTCACAACTTCAAACCACCAGAAGAGTTCTGCCATGAACACCAAATAATTACTCTGTAGAAGAAAGTGAAGAAAATGAGAGGGGAGCATGACTGCTGTAACAAGTGACTACAAGTCCACGATCAAGAAAATTTACTGTTTTACTTCTAAGTGTAGGTTTAGATGTTTTTTCATTCATCACTGAATCATATGAACTGTAGGGTATTAAACCTGGGGAATGGTATATTAGAACTTATAAGTAAAACAACTTTTACATATCATTATACATTACAAAACATAACCATAGCCTCTTTGTGGATTTGTTCTATAGTTCCAGAATGGTGATCTAATTCAGCTGGCATGGCAGTTATCAGTATTTCTAACTTACAGTACTTTAAGATAATGTGCAACGGACTTTTCTCCCAAAGTAAATACAAATATTTTAAATGGCTCTTCAAGTGTGTGGCACTCTGAAGAATTATTAAAACATATATATATTAAGCTTGACCCAGACCTCTAAGAATTTCTCAAAAAAATGATTAGGTATATAGTTCAATTTGGAGGTTTGAAGTAACTGACTTTAGATTACTGTGGCTTTTATTCTTAATAACTTTAAAAGGTACTAAAATGTATACATTTAATTTTTAAAAGTTGTTAATAAGAATCAGAATAAGGCACCCTGGTGGCACTGTGGGCTAGGTGGTGAGCTGCTAACAGCATTCACTTTGTGGAAGACAGTGAGGCTGTCTACTCCCATAAACATTTACATCTCGGAAACTATAGAAACCTTCTAAGTTTGATATGAATCAGAACTGACTTGATGACAGTGGGCTGTTAGTAAGAATAAGTCAACAACGTGATTTACTTTTTAGTATGGTATATACTCGAGTATATAAGCCGACCCGAATATCAGCCAAGGTACCTAATTTTACCACAAAAACTGCATTAAAAATGTGCTGAAAAACCTGGCTTATACAAGTATATATGGTATCTGTATTTGAAAATACAAATAATTATTTAAATGGCTTAAAATTAAAGAATTATTAAAAGCACATTTCTACTATAAGTCTGTATATTTTAATGCATACAAAATGAAAGCTATGAACATGAAGAATTATTTTAATTTTAGGTATTTGCTAAATGTTTTTACAATCAGTATATAAAATCTGCTCTAATAATTATTTAAAACAACTCATGTCTTTGACTTTTGGGGTATTTTGTATCAAGTAATTATAAAACATTAACATTTGATGAGTAAGGTTTTAATTTCACATTAAATTTCCATTTTCAAAGGTATCACAGGAAATATGAGTGCTTTTCAATGACGCTTTGCCCTCTTCCCCCTCTGCTTGCTAATTATAAATAAGCCTCAAGGCTCTAGGTTTACACTCCTCTTAGCGAGCTCAGCACCTCTCTTGGCTTTGTTTCTTCCATATTTGAGCCTTCAAATATTCCTCTCATGCCTGACCATTCAAGGTTACTGAATATGTGGGAAGTGAGGGAAAGAGAAGAATCCAGGTGATTTCTAGGTCCTTCTATCTTGAGCAACCTAGAGAACATTTACTTAAACTCGGCACCATCCAGTGGAGGCCGACTCCCAGCGACCCCAGGGGACGGGGAAGAACTGCCCTGGTGGCTTTCCAGGACTTTAACTCCTTACAGTAGTAGCCAGCCTAGTTCTCTCCCTCGGAGCGGCTGGTGGCTTGCAACTCCTGACCTTACCATTTACTTCGATGGAGAAAAAGGAGAGAAAACATCTGCTAGGAAGCTGTAGGAGGATGCCTGGGATAGAGATGTTCCACAGAAATTTAAGAGGACAACGCTATACTTAAACCAATGGATGGGCATTTTCCCCATTCTCGGTTACGCTGTAGTGCTAACCAATTTCCCTGGCTCTCCGTCCCCAGGCACCGCTGACTGCCAGTTGGCTGTTGCTTTGTGCAGTGAAGGAACACAGTTGTAAAAAATAATAATTAAAAATGTTAAATATAAAGAAATTTAAGTGACGATGTCGCCTAAGTCTCTGAGCATGATTTAGAGTGCTACAGAGGACAGGGCACAGTGGGGTACAGAATGTGGTTGCCTTCCTACTTTCCTGTTAGCATTTACTTTTTATAATAGAAACTGAGCATAATTTAACATCTACTACTAATACACACTGTATTAAGACCCAAACTTAAACCCAGTGCGACTGAGTCAATTCGGACTCATAGTGACAGTGTAGTACGGAGAAGAACTCCTTAGGACTGCAGAGACTGCCAATCTTTAGGGGAGCAGACAGCCTCATCTTTCTCCCAAGCTGTGGCCGGTGGATTCAAACTGATGCATAACCTACAACACCACCAGGGCTCCTTACTGTATTAAGAAGTCATTAAAATGTGTGATTTTTACAAAGAAATGACATTGTGTTCATAGTTCCCAAGGCTCTTTGATGGATCTCAGCCCATTTGCTTCCTCAGAAATGTTGTATTTTTTAATTATATTTCTTTCTTTCTCCTATATAAGTTTCCCCCACTATCCAAAAGTAGTGTTCCTATAAAACCTTTCACAGGGCAAAATGGTGAAGCAAAAAAGCAACGAGGAACTTCTAAGGAAAGAAATGTTAGGATCCCTAAACCCCACACCAAATCATAGCAAATACCACATAAAACCTAAAATAACACTAACATGTGATGCTCACAGGCACAGTTCAAAGCTATGGCAACTGGATACCAAGCATCCTCCAGGCAAGAAGCCTGGCAGTGCCCCTGGCACTGCTCGGGAGGGGCCTGCAGCCTCTTGAACGGCTGCAAAACACCCGCTGAACACTAGTTTTTTGTCACCTCTTCTCTTCATAGGGAAAACCCTCTTCAGATTGTTTCAGGTGGCAAAACCAGGTACTAAAGTAGGTTTTGAATAAAACTGAAATGGTGGGTTTTTGGAACGTGGGGGACCCTTAGATATTTACCTCTCCTCTCTCAACAGCCTCCTTCCTACTAGACTTTTAAATGTGTTATTAGAAACAAAGCATTCATTCAACACTCACCCGTTGTTCTCCAGGTCCTTACCACCTCCACCTCTTCACAAACTGCTCTATAAAGCAGGCTAATACCACAGGTTCCCAAACTTAATTTGTCTCACTACCTCCTCTTCAGAAAGAAAACAAAACCTCAGACACCTGCGAGCACTGAAAAACTTTCATTCTAGAGCCCACAGACCAGGATAAAACACTTTTGCAGGCCCCCTGGGTGGTTTCAGGGTCCCCCAGGGAGCAGTACTGCCATCTTTGGGAAACATTGGTTTATACTAACAATTTCTATTTCATTATTCTCCCTACACCCAGATCCACTCCGGCCTGGGATCCTTCCTCTAAAACAGTATTTGCTAAAATCACCTATGACTTACACCAAACGGAAACTTTGCAGTCTTCACCTTACTTGACTTCTCACCTTTTTGAAACCACCATCCAGCCCATCAGCTAGCAGGCAACTCTAAACGTACTGATGTCACTCATGCGTGCGTGGCCTGCTGAGCATATCCTCTTGCATATCTCAAAGGTTCCTCAAATACATTACATCCAAAATCCAACGAGTGATCTTTCTACATCTGCCTTGACTCCAGTCCCATATCCCATCTCACGGAATGGCACCAATATCCCAAAACCTTAAAATGCCATCCTCAACACCACCTTCTCTTCTCCTATTCAATTCATCACCAAAGACTGCAGACATGGCATCCTAAATCTCTCTGGAATCCAACTTTTCTCCGTCTTCATAACTACTCTGATTCAAACTGCTCTCTCATCCCTTCAAACACAACAGCCTTTTCTCTGGCTTATTAAGAACAAATTTTTCAAAATCGCACGCACCTTACTCTGCACTGCTCTAGGGAGCAAGGGGAAACTTACTGTCTGTGCTCTCTAAGAGGCTGCTGGTGCTTGGCCCTTTTTCTCACTTTAGCTCCATCTAACACCACACTCTTCCCAGTTACCTAACTTACCCATCAGACAGTAAGATGGAGTTTATGTCATCACTATATCTTCAGAGTTCAAAATTGTGCCTGGCACATAGTCGATACTCAATAAACACTGAATGGGGACATACTGTATACATAACATAAAAACACCAGTAGGTAAAACATCAAAGCAAATACTGATAGCTGGTTAGATAACTAGTGATTACATTTTTACTTTATAGTATACTTTTTAAAGTTAAGGCATGAAATTAATTTTCAAGTACTAGTGCTGGGCTTCACTCTGTTGTATAGATATATATTAAAGCAGACTATACCTTTTGGGTGAACACACTATTTAAGTGCTAAATAATGATCTGCTAACGTAATTGTGTTTGGCCACAAGGTGTCAGTAAAGCAAAAATAATTTTCCCAGTATAACCAAAAGCTCAGGAAGATAATGATTTTCTTCCTGAGTTTATGCGATGATTACATAGCAGTCAGTCAGTCATCATAATCCAAGAATGATGCCAAACTCATTTCAAAGTTTCTTCCTTCTTTCAGTCAAGATGATCATAAAGTATACACGGTAAAAAATGTAAACTAAATATATATATGCCTTAACCTTTCCTCTCATATTTCCATAATTAACTCAAAATAATCCATTTTTAACAGTTCTGTATATCCCCTCTGTGCATCTATCAACACATACAGCTTTTCATAAATAAATAATTTTTAATATATGTATATATTACAGTGTCTTGGAGTGATTTGTGTGTCTGTAAAAAAAAACCCTACCACATAGACTAAATGAATTATGAAACACTTTCATTATGGCCCCATTAAGATGGACTGCTTCCATAATTTCATCATCATGAACCACCCTGATATATGTCTGCTGGACACCAAACAATTAATTTAGTTAAGTAATGTCAAACTGACCATGCCGCTTATACTTTCAGCAAGTGATTCCATACACCCTCATGCTATTGTTGGGGCATCAGGTCGATTTTCAACTCATAGCAAGCCCATGTACAAGAGCAGAACTGTCACCCACCCCCACGCTCTTGGCTGAATATAGTCTCTATGGAAGCAGATGTCTGGTATTGTTCTGCTGGAGAAGCTAGGTGGGTATGAACGGCCATTGTTAGGTTAACAGCTGAGCACTGAATTGCCACTGGATTACCTGGCTCCTGACATTGTCATAGAAACTTGTCATTAAAGTTAACTAATTAACAAAGTGATAACAAAGTGCCTGGGAAGCTCTCAAAAACTTCAAGGTTTAAGGCATTCAGTTAATTTAAAGCTGTGATTCTAATAACTTCGCAAAAAAATATTGAAAGAGATCAAAGAAAATGTCTTTACATATGAATCATGCCCAAACCAGGTTGATTAAACATCAGAACTATTTATTGGGAGTCCAAAGTCTATAACTGAAACACATATGGTTGACTTCATGTCTCAGTGCATTCAGTGAAATGGTTATTTTCTTTGAGAGTATGTAAGTGGTACTTATTTTTTTAATAGGCATTGCCAGAAAAGTCTCTAAGAAGTTATATATAAAAACATTATTTCCCAATTTTAATAAAAATGAAATAGAGAAGAAGCTTCTGCCAATAAAATGATCTCTCTTCCCATACCATTCTTGGTAAAATATTTTCAAATTCAAGGTCAACTTTCATAAGCATTTCTTCCGATTGTCCCATGGTGGGGGTGGGCTTTCTTTTGCATCCACAGAGTAGTGAATTACACTTGGAATGCCTTTTCCACGGGCTCTCTCATCCACTCTGGAAATCCAAAGGTTGGCAAAGGACGCATAGAGAATTGAGTGCAGGCTCCCCCATTGGCAGTTCCATTAAGGTTGACATTGGAATTAAGATTGTGGCTCATATAAAAGGTTTCATTTAGCCATTTTTTTTCTTAAATTCCCTTATTCCTGAAATTTGAAACAGGTGGAAAACATCCGCAGGTATGCGTGAGACAAAGGGATTTTGTAGTTGTGAGCCACTGGGAATAGAAGGTAGCATTTCAGAGCTTAGAATTCTCTTTTAGCTCAGAAGCAGATATAGCTGAGGCACGTGCGTTGTCTTTCCCACTAGAGTGGTTCCGAGGATACCGACTGCCCTCAACACCTGATACACGTTTCTTTAAGGAAGGGCACTAAGCAGTGCCTGAAGCTCAAAGGCAGGGCACAGCTAAAGGAAGGGCCATACCTTTGTAAAAGGTCCCTCCACAGACGGCTTTAGTTTCATCTCCTGTGCTCTTTTTCTGGCTTTGCGGGGGTGGTCGCCAAGTCCTGGGACCTCTTCTTCCCAGACCTATTCCAGTTTTGTTGAATGTCAAAATGACCATACCTTTATATCCCACTGTAGCAGGTTCACATGCATTCTATTGTTATTTACTTACACACCTGACTCCTCTGATGACAAAGAGCAATTTCAGGAACTTCAGTGCCATTAGCACAGGGTTGGCTGTTTGGTCTGTAACCCCAGAACTGAGGACCATGTTGGTACATGGAGACAATCAGTGTATATCTGATGGCTGAATGACTCTCCCAGTCCTAGCACAGTGGCTGGTTTATAACTGGTATTCACTAATAAACATTACCATCAGTTCTCAAACTTACATTGTTGCTGGTAGGTAATGGTGAACCAGTTCTGACTCACAGTGTCTCGATGTACAACAGATTGAAACACCGCTCGGTTCTGCACCATCCTCGCAACTGTGCTGATGCTTGAGCCCATTGTTATGGTCACTGGGTCAATCCATCTCGGCAATGGTCTACCTCTTCTTCACTGCCCTCTACTTTACCAACCATGATGTCCTTCCCAAGAGACGAGTCTCTCTTGATAACAGAGACAAAAATCTCATCATCCTTGCATTCTGGCTGTACTTCTTCCAAGACAGATCTGCTTGTTCTGTTGGCAGTCCATGGTACTTTCAATATTCTTCTCCAGCACACAATTCAAACGCAGAAATTCTTCTTCAGTCTTCCTGATTCAATGTCCAACTGTCACATGCATAGGAGATCACTGAAAATACCATGGCTTCAGTCAGGAGTACCTTAGTCCTCAAAGAGACAGCCTTGCTTCTCAACATTTTAAAGAGGTTTTGTGCAGGCTTACCTAATGCAATGTGCCATTTGATCTCTTGACTACTGCTTCCATGAGCATTGATTAGGGATCCAAGCAAGACAAAATCCTTGACACCTTCCACCCTTATTTCATTTATCATGGTTACCTACTGGTCCACTTGTGAGGATTCTTGTTTTCTTAACATGGAACTATAATCCATCATGAAGGATACAACCCTTGATCTTCATCAGCAAGTGCTTTAATTCCTCTTCACTCTCAGTAAGTCCATGTTGTGCCAAGTGCATAATTAGCCTTCCTCTAATCCTGATGCTGCACTCTTCATATAATGTAACTTCTCTGATGATCTGCTCAGCATACCAACTGAGTAAGTATGGTGACAGGATACAACCCTGATGCACACCTCTTATGATTTCAAACCATGCAGTACAGTATTCTCTTGTTCTGTTTGCACAAGTGCTTCTTGATCCATGTACAGGTTAGGAATGAGCACAATGAAACACTGTTCTGGAATCCCTGTTATTCTCAAGGCTATCCATAGTGTGTTATGAGCTACATAGTCAAAAGGCTTGGTGTAGTCAATAAAACACAAGTAAACATCTTTTGTTGACAAACTTTTTGTCTAATGCTATCCCGTTTACATTTTAATAACTTTCAATTCTTTCATTCTGTGGTTCCTTGGTAAGGGCTTTGTTCTAACGATGCATATGCAACAGTTTGTAATTTAGAGTAGCTTCAAGCAAACCCTGACATCCTCCACAAGCAAGAGATGGGCCCAGTTCATTTTCATAATCTCTTTCCAAGGGCTTACCAAAACATAAACTGTACCCAGGGGGCTGCCTGTACTTTTACATGTATACCATGTAACTTTGCCCTTATATTTAAAAAGCCAAATCGTGGGCTTCAAACAAATTATTTACTAGTTCAAGGAGTACACACACCAACACACACCCCACCCTGCTTGCTTTGGGAGCTGGGGAAAAAAAAAAAACGGAAAAAGAAAACAACTCCCAAAGTTTTTAATATCCATAATAACACTGCAGTTCTGTGGTAATTCGAGATTTTATACAATTGTCTATATAATGCATTATGAAACATTTTTGATTTCTTAATTAACTTTCTGGTTCAAGAGTCACATAAAATGTCATACCAAGAGTACTAAAATCATCTCTGAATGGTCAGAAATAAACCTGAAAGCTTTAAAAATATAGTATTAATAACACAATCTAATTTTAAAACATTGTGATTTTCTGCTTAGCATCATTGTAACTAAAATACAAGGAGAGCTTCAAACTACTTTTGATAATGGAATTTTCCCATGAACTTTGTGAAGTCCTCCTTTGCACTCTCCTTACCATTAAGGAAATTATACTAACTGTGTGAAATTTCTGTTACTTTTTAACAAACAGTCAAAAGATAATACAAGTGATAAGCACATTACAGGAGGGGGCTTCAAAACTTTCATAGAAAAATGGAATTTCCCCATGAACTTTCTGAAGCCCCTTCGTATGCGACCTAGTGAGAGTAAGTGAGTTCTCTTTTATGCTCAATGACTCAGTTTCCATTTCATCCTCAGTGAAATATGCAAGGGTATCACATGGTTTTAGTTAACTCTACATACTGTAAGGAGCCCTGGTGGGCTGCTAGCTGCAAGGTCATCAGCTGCTCTACAGAAGAAAGATGAGGTGGTCTCCTCCCTCCCTCAGAAACCTCAAGGAGCACTTCTACTCTGTCCCGGAGGCTTCCTGAGTCCTAACGGACTGGACGCAGTGGGTATAACCAGACCAACCGAAAACAAACTCACTGCTGTTGAGTGATTTCAGCTCATAGCGACCCTAATTGTTATGTATATTTATGCCTAATAGTAATTAAGCATAGAATCTTATTTCTCAATTAAGTTAAATATCTGTTTAATTAAAACATTTAAAGTCTCCAAGTAAATGAGGTCTTTATTACTAAAAAGAAGGACTCTTGTTACTTATTAGTTGCAGAAGCTCAGGTGGAACAATGGTTAAAGCCCTGGCCTGTTAACTAAAAGGTGGGCAGTTCAAACCCATGAGCTGCTCTTTGGGAGAATGAGGTAACCATCTGTTTCTGTAAAGGTCACAGCCTCGGATACTCTACAGGGAAGCCTGACTCTTATCTCCGTGGTTCTCAACCCAGCTCCTCATGGTGTGGTGACCCCCCCCCAACCATAATTATTTTCGCTGCTACTGCATACTGTAATTTTGCTGTTATGAATCGGGCGACCCCTGTGAAAGGGTCATTCAACCCCCAAAGGGGTCATGACTCACAAGTTGAGAACCACTGCTCTATCTAATAGGCTCAACTACGAGTTCTCCAGAAACATTCACTGGCTCGTCTTCCCAACATGAGGACAACAGATCAATTTTGTACCGTAAATTAAATGGGGTTTTTTTTTGCACTGTAAGACAAATCTTTAACTAGTAGTATATTTAGAAGTACACAGTAAACACACATAAAAAAGCTCTTTTGACTGATATTATAGTAATTTGTAAACTTAAGGTGGCTCGACCAATCACATGTCTGCTAAGTCCCTTTCTCACAACTGTTAAAAATGCAAAAGGAAAGGAAACAATTCAGTTCACCTTTATGGAGGAAGCCGCGTAGAGCATGTCTTCAAGGCTGAAATGGCAACACTGGTTCAGGTATTCTTGGCAAAATTCTTGAATCAGCTGCAGGTTATATAGGCTATCAGCCAAAGACATAGTTTCTTTCAAACAAATGTCTTCAAATAGGAAAAGAATAAGATGATTACTTGAAAATTTAGCAATTTGAAAACTGAAAATTTAGTTATAGCATCCCATATCCACTCTGTAATTTAGTGATTTAGGACAGATAAACAAATATGTAAGATGTGTAACACACACACACACAGAATTATAATGGTCATTTCACAAGAAGACACAGAACTGACTCACTGGCACTATTAACAACAATCTTCGGTTCATTACTATCTCAGGGGACACTTACCCTCTAGTCTGACAACATCGGGACAGTAGAAATGAATGAGAGCAGCGAGGGCGCAGCCATCTGTACCGTCCTTCAACAAATTTTCTACCAAAGGAATGCAAGGCAGTTGCTTAAGCAATGTTTGCTCTTTCCTATATCGAGCCTATGATGTCAAAAAGAGATAAAAACAACTAAGTACTCAAGAACACATTAAGAAAAGTGGCAGAGATAATAAAATGTACATTCAGAATAATAACTACTTACTAACACTCTTCTACATTATTATCTTAATACTAATCCTACCTTACCAGAGTTAAGCATACAGTAAGACTATATATAGTTTAAAGCTATAAAGTTCATATAACAGTATATCGTCAATTTATGTGAGATGACATTTCGCTTAAATACTTAAATATAAAAAAGTATAACAAAACAAATTTTTGAATACTTTATACTCAAATAACCAGTTCTGCGCTTTGTAGCTAATATCTATTTGATGCTAGGCTTAATTTAGATGGAAAATTTATACATCAAGACTGAAATCTCTTATACAGAGAAGCAAGAGTACTTATGGAACACAAAGAAGTGGTGGAGTTATCAAAATTGGGGGTCAGAAGATGATACTTTTCTCCAAGAAAATTTAGTAGTAAGAAGAAACATCACTTTTAAAAAATGAGATAATTTCATCAAGATATTCTTGTTTATTATGCTAATGTCGAGATAATATAAATGAAGGAAAACTTTGAAATTAAAAAAACACCCAATTTAGGCTTATATTAACCGGCGAGAGTACTAAGAATAAGGGTTTCTGCTCTTTCTCAGAAAAATAAGCAAGCTTTTTTCTAAATACTGCTTGGTGTGGCTGGATACAGCTTTATACAGCCCTCTAACAATGAAACAGGCTGCAAACCATCTTAGCTAAGAAAACAAACTTCTAACCAAACGACCTGGGTTCAAATCCTGGGTCGGCCATACATTAGTTCTAATTTTCAGTTTTCCTTATCTGTGAAACGGCGATAACAACAGTGCCTGCTTCATAGGACCATGAAGGGTTAGAGGAGATAATGGAGATAAAGTGCGATGTACCTAGCAGGCAACTGTTGAGTGCTCGTTGTTACTACATAAGTTTTCTTGACACCAAGACAAAGTATTCAGTGAAGGTGTAAACTGAAGTGTGTTTGCAGCAACCTTTATGACTACATAGGTTATTTATACTTCTCCTTACAAAGTAATAAAAGCCTATTTTTCTTTTAACTTCATAAGTGAGTCATCTATATTTTATTTACACTTTTAATTATAAGAAAACATACCTTTATAAAGACAAAAGTAGAAAAATGAAGACTGACTAAAAGATAGTATTAGACCTCTGTGGATAAAGTTAGATTTCTTTTAAATGATATCCCTGATTAAACTATATTAGGGAAGAAAATAGTTTTTCCTATTTTTCTCTCAATAATGATCCAAACACAAGACTTCTGAGCATGTTGTTCTCTTAAAGATTGTCAGAGAAGCTTTTTCCTATTAACCAGCATCGACTACCTAAGTGCACTTAGTGGAATATTCCTAACTTACAGAGCACCGATATTCAGCGAGAAGAAAGAGAGAGAGAGAGAATAGGTAATACATAACTTATTTAATGGATTTTTGATTTTGAGATAATTCTTTAAAATTTTCCTCACTTTGTGGGTAGAAGATGGTTTAAAAACCAACTAGTTTTTTTTAGAAAAGAAAAATGAAATCAACCAGTAGTGTTTTCTGGTCTTAAACTAATGTTCTCATACGTTCAGTGAGCATGTTGCAGATTTTTACTCTCTGCTTTGGCCGTCTGGAAGCAAACAGTCTGCCTATTGGAATTTGCTAGCGGAACTGGACTCGGCCCCAAGCCTCCCAGCCCTTCTCTAGGATGAGCTTGTTTTCAGACTACAATCCCAAATGGACGGAGTTCCTCACCCGGGGTCAGAGACACAGGGCTGAACCTTGTGGTTGGTTTGACCGGCCTCGGCCAGGAGCATTTCTGCACAAGAAGGCGCACACACTTAGCACCATGCAGTTTTGGTAGTGTTCGGCATGGCTTAGCAATCTAAACCATGTCTGTGATTTAGCAACACAGCGAGTTATAAATGGCATGCTAAAACATTTTCCTATGACTGTATATCCTAGGAGACAAACCAGTAAAACAACTACCAGAAAATTCATCCACCATTCATGGAAGTTATGTAGTCTCTTATGTTTGAACATTATAAATTATACACATAGATATAAGTGCTTCTAAGTATGTAAATACATAATATGCATTATAAATTCACTGTCTGGAAACACTCCCTGCTCTTCCAATGCAATTAGAAATTTAAAAGGAACATTGTATTTTCTATATTTCAACATTATGGTCTATTTCTATAATAATTTTTTAATTCCAAAGGATATAAGATACATTTTAAGTGGTCTAACCACACAGATTTAATCCTGAAAGGTTTATCTTTCCAATCAAGTTAGTATTTAAAGAGCTTATGTCAAACAATGGTGAGAATACAGAGCGGGGACCCATCACATTTTTATCCCATAAGGATTATCCCCCACACTTCAGGCTGAAAAGGAAATGCTTTTGTTAGAGAGATGATTATGTAGTAACAATAATTTATGCATGCAATTCAAATTTCCTTTCTTAAAATGGTTGCAAATGAATGAGAACTCATATTCATAGTTCTATTTGTTTACTCATGGTCTGTCAAATATTGACAAAATTAGCAAAAGGATGCTTTCTCTTCAAGTCATTTCTCAGCTTTGGCTAGATTTTGATGTTTGTATTTTATATTATGATCACATACCTTAAAATCCAATCTCTATGCAGTGACTGACTGAATTATATAAAACCATTACCCCCACAAGACATCAACAGTAGTATCATTCTACAATGAGCAGTTCTGAACAGCCAGTTGAAGTAGCTAGGCAAACTTACTGGAACCAGTTTCCAAAACCATTTGGAAGGAGACTTCAGAGGGAGCAGCAGAAAAAGGAAAAGCAAAAAGTAAAGGGAAAATTCATCAGAATCATTTTCCATTAAAAAGTACTGATAAAGCTTCTGATAACAGAGTCTCATGTTTACAATTGTCATAATACATTTTTTAATGTAAATCAGTTGTTTGGTTAAAAGGGGTACAAGTTACTAATGATATATGCCACCCCACCCCACCCTCAGTTTTGTCTCTCTCCTCCTAAGAGAGAAGTCACCTTTTGGAAACCTGGCCACTGGTCAAAGGGAACTCTCTGGAGCCTTAATCTACATGGGGATGCTGCCAACTTTGCACATTCACGCTCATGAAGAGCTTTCTGCAAACCAGGTGCTCGGAATTTAAGCTCTAATACTGTTCCCTCTGGTCTTGGATTTCATTATTTACAATCCTAGGCTCCACAGGTTGGTGTGGACCTAGCTAACACCTCATTATATGGCTGCTTACTTTAAGGCAAGCCTTTAAGATTCCAGATGCTGTTCTTTCTGATATCCGGGCACCATCTGATTTCTTCACATTTTGCTATACCATCTATATCTTCATGAGGGTAAGTATTGAGTAGGGTGACATCATAATAAATAATTTAGATTATGGACTACTCTTAACAGGAGACAATTTGTAACAGGAGGGCTCAAGACACTCCATATTTATTCGAAAATGTTCGATAACAGGATTTTTACTAGGGCAGATGACTCAACATTCTTCCTGCCTCTCTACTGGCCTAATTTAGTGACAGGAATCCTACTACAGGGAATATAGATGATTTCAAGGAAACATAGAAACAATCTGAAGGATACAAGACTTAAAATGTGAATGTACTCAAACTGAATAAATAATTCAACTATGGATGCTTACATATGCAGGTTTCAGAAAGGTCAACTCTTTAGCACAAGTTCGTTGCTGACCGACAGCAACCCTGTAGGGCAGAGTAGATCTGACTCAGAGTTTTCAGGGCTACAAATCTTTACAGAAGCAGACTGCCACATCTTTCTCCCACAACTGGTAGGCGCAAGCTGCTGACCTTTTTGTGAGTGGCGAGTACTCTAACCTTTGTGCCACCATGTCAGAATCAAGTTGGAGGCATTGGTTTTGGTTCCTTCAGAGAAGCCATCGAATTGAAATCCCACATCTTATTTTAAGACGTAAACAATTATGAGGAAAGGAGGTTTTTGCAAGACCATGAATAACAGTGAAGAAAAAGTGAGGGCTTGAAGGAATGGATTACAACTCAGTGTAAGGAAGATCAAAATCTTCACAGCTGATAACATGCTACAGGGAGAAAGACTGAAGTTGTCCAGGGCTTTGTCTAGTTGGGACCCACGATCAGTGCTCATGGAAGTAGACCTCGCGAGACATGTTGTATTGCATCAATCTGCTGCACAAGTCCTCTTTAGAGCACTGAAAAGCAAGGGTGCTACTTTGAGGGTTAAAGTGCGCTTGGCCCAGGTCATGGTATTTTCAATGGTCTCATATGCGTGTGACATTGAATAAGGGTGACTGAAGAAAAATCAAGGAATATTGAAAGTACCATGGACTGCCAAAAGGACAAACACATCTATCTTGGAAGAAGTACATCTAGAATACTCCTTAGAAGCAATGATGGCTAGGCTTCATCTTATATACTTTGGACATGTTACCAGGAAAGACTAGTCCCTGGAGAAGAACATGATACTTGCTCAAGTGGAGGAGGACACAAAAAGAGGAAGACCCTCAACAAAACAGATTGACTGTGGCTGCAACAATGGGCTCAAGCACAGGGACAATGGTGAGGGTAGCCCAGGCCCAGGGAATGTTTCATTCTCTTCGGCTCACCCTAACTTTTGGTTAATTGTCTTAGGACCTACCTCAATGAGTCAGAATCGGCAGGATGGTAGTCAGTGTGTTTCTTTGTAGGACATGCTATCAGTACTTCCCAGTAGTTCTGTCTTGTAAAGGATATGGAGCCCCTTATAGTAAACAATTTGGCTTTTGTTCCTAGTTTCTGGAAGCCAGACCATACCTGACACCCATGAGGGCAGACTGGCCAAATCAAGTGCAACAATGCTAACTCAGCCTCAGGAAGGGACCAGTACACAATGCGTATGAGATAAGGGTCCGTGGAACAGATCGGGTGTGGACTGCATGTGAAGTGAAATTTATCATCTACAACACACTGGAGTAGGAGATGGCAGATCTCAGCCTTCTAGGACTGGCTTGACACAACTGGTGACAAAGTGGTCCTGACACCATAGTCTTCCTCTGGATAGCTACAATCACTGACAAGTGGGATAATTTCTGAACTTCTTACAGACACTCTCAATCCATTCTGGGAGGAGGTTGGTTTAAGCACTGGCGACCTCAAGAAGTTGGGATCCTTCCGGGAAGTTGTCATCAAAGCTGTGACCTGTCATCTCATGCGTTAGACTGCAGAATCTCTTGAGTTGCTTCAGGCCTAGAAATTGCATAGGACAGTTGCTAGGAATGTAAAGGGATATAAACTCCTATTGAACCATCATCCACACGGTATTCAAAGGGCAACACTCACCTAGTGCTAAACTCGGAAGGTGGGAGGGGATAAGAAAAGAGGAGGAACAGAAATGGTCAAGCTCAGGAGGAAGTAGGAACAGTAGGGATTGAATTCAATGCCACAAAATAAAGTGTGTATGGCCTGTTGAATGGAAAACCACTATACTCTTAAACATTCACCCAAATCACTTTGAGAAAAAAAAAAGGAAGTCCTCAAAAAACAGAAGAATGGGGATACCCAAGGGACACAAAAGCCAAACTTTTTTGAAAGAGTTCCCAGTGGACACAGCTGGAACAATGGGAGCAAGAAAATAGTGTGGTAATAGATTATATCCCAAAGTATAAAATAAATACAATGAATACAGACAGATATAATAGCTTTTAAAAATGGGAGAGAGGACACAAATCTCTCAGAAAATTCAAAATAGTGTGTGTACTCTATTCAGGAAGTGAGCTTAATTTTTTTCCCCTTAAACGTGGGTTGGATAAACCCACTCGCACCAGTGAAAATAGAAAGTTTACAAGAGAGAACCTGACAAACACACCTTAACCAAATGAGCAAAGCTAACATCACTAATGAGAAGTCATGTTGAGATCATGTACCCCCATACGTGTGATGAACAGGCACCTCATCTTCATGGTAATACGGTAAATCTAGGAGCCAAACCAAATGATGCATCAAAAAATTATGTGCTGATATGCTTATATATGTATTTGCATTAGACAAGGGCACAGCTACAGGTTACAAATCAGCGTTTTCCAAAGTATGCTCCAAAGAACGTAATCCTAGAAAAAGCCAGTGTAGGCTAACTATAAAGGAATTCAAAGATCAAACACATTTGAGAAAGAGTAAGCTAGTCAGTTAGACAGCCCTTTCCCCAACCCTTTGATGCACTAAACTGGGTTGCAAAATTCTTAAGTTGGTGGATACCAGGCAGCATTTCCCAAATGTATCTGACTTCAGATCCTTTTTCTCACACAGTACCCTGAAGTAACATTCTTCAAAGAAATGGAGTTTGAGAAGAAGAAAAAAGTAGGTTATAGTTTTTAATTGCTAAGGAATTTTGGTCAAGAAAGAATTCACATGGGCTCAAGTAATCATGCAAAAATATAAAACCATTCATCTGTGTTTCCACTGAGGAAAGTATAATCTATTTGGATTCTACACCTTCCAGTGAGAAGCAATTAGGGTTCATTAATAGTCTTTTCCCCTGAGGAAATTCCTTCATCACACTCCCACTCCATGTGAAATACCACGCAAGTATTTCTTTTAAAAAGTGTCAAATGTCACATTGAGTAGACATGTATCTTTAACATTTTGATAAACATTAAACTTCACTCAATATATCGATAGCATTGTAAATTTACAAATTCAAACCCATGAATTAACAGCAAGGACAAAGTTCAGAGGGTTGGAGAGGAGGAGGGATGGAAACAGGAAAGAGCTGGGAAAAGTGATGCTGCATTGTGGGAACTGCAATCAAGGAGATGCGACAAAACGCAAAGGAATTGTTGAATGGAAAACTGATCGGCTCGGTGAACTTTCACCCAATGCACAATAAAAAGTTAATAAACAAAAATAAAAAGAACCTATCCTACCAAAGTGGTCGTATCATTAATTCTCCAAGATGCCTTTTATTTATAACTGTAGGTCTCTGCTCATGTTGTTTCCCTAATCAAAGACCACAACCCCTCTATGAAACCTGGCTAAGGCCCAAATCCTTCTCACCTATTCATGCCCACAGTTATTGTCAATACACACAAAAATAGGAATGTTTATGACAGCCAATTACTTACTAGATTCACTAAACTTTTGTTTTGAGTTCCTAACATTTAGTAATTGTGGAAGACATTGAGACTCTTTACATTTATTCATGGAATTCAGGAGCCATTTAATCCTGCTTCTAATGTGTACAGAGAAAGAAAATGAGGCCCAGAGCAGGCGCATGCCTCTGCAGAGACCCTGAAGCCACCAGTGGCGGAATGATTCTGATGGGAGTCAGTGCTCTTTTCACCATCCCACACGTTGCGTAAGCTCTCTAAACGACTACATGAAATAAATAAGTAAGTAGAAGACTCGACGACGGACTTCACGTCCTACTGACTATAAACTACAGAGATCTCTAAACAGGGTCGACAAATGGAGCAAATATAAAAAACAACGTGCTGTGTGATATTTGACACATATTTATATTACACAATTAATTTGCTCTCTGAAATTCAAATTTAACAGGCCATCCTATTTTATCTGTCAACCTTGTTTTGAGGCAAAAGGATGATTAGAAGCAAAATCTTAAAAATAGAGAAAATAACAATAAATTGCTTAAGCAAAACCTTTTCCTAGCGTGTGATACTATTTTATTTTGGGGGCTGACATGCTCATTATTTATCAGGTGGGGTTGGGGTGCTGACCAGGGGAACATGGTCTCAGGGACGTTGGGTGGTAAAGGGTGGACCCCTCCACCTAACATGCCACTGGAGACAGCAGTTCTCTTGCAGACTTGACCCTGAGCACCCCCCACAAGTAGGTTGAACTGCTTCCTACAGGAGGCCTGGCCTCAAGATGAGCCCCAGAAGGGCCAACTCACACACCTTGCAGGGAAGTGGACAATCTTTGGGCAAGAGCCCAGCTCCCAGCACAGGACTGGCCTCAGCAGATGGCCATTGGCTGCCAAGGGGGATTCCAGCATCTCTTACCTTAAGGCCTCACCCCCTCACTGTTGTTAGGACAGTTCCTGGCCCACAGAGTGCAGCAGGCAGACTGGTAGGGTGGTGCAGGGCCAGGTGAGAGCCCGGGGGTCAGGTGGGAGCTCTCTTATGGGCACCACTCACGGCTGCCATACAGTCTGTGAAGCCTAATAGGAGAATCAGACTTGTTGGTCTGTCCTGGTCATTCAGGTTGGCAACTGGCTGAGGGTTTAGGAAACCACGTTTGAGGCACACTGAGTGTCCTGCAGGCACAGTTCACCCTGGGGCCCAGGCCACATGTCCCCAGGGGTGGACCCTGACTTGACAAGCTCAGCTAACGCTGGGGAGGTGGAGAGAAAATGAGCAGGCTACAGCCTTGGGCTCCAGTGTCTGAGGGCAAAAGAGGGCCTAGGGCAGTAAAGGCTGGAGCAGCCATGTTCACACACAAGGCACAAGACAGGGTCCCATCCCATCTCAGGATGTGGCACGGTTTTAAATGTCCAAGAAAAATGATTATAACATTAAGATGTATGTATGATCGCCCATGATCTACATCTGTTTCTTACTCCAGATATCAAACAACCAAATAACCAGAAATACATTATTAGAGCAGCTAATATCTTCAGAACATACCTTTGCAATTTTACTCTTGATCCACCAACACTAATAAAATGCACTAAAGTACACGTCAATATATGCTCATATTTCCTCAAGAAGATGGGTATAAGAAGAAACTTCATCAAACAAGATTTAGTTTTCCATCAACTCTTGAACATCTGATTTGAGGGTAACAGAGCAAGGACAAAAAGTAAGGAATGTTGATCATGCAACGCCCTGAATTCTGCTTAAGTACTAAGGACAAGCACTGGACTACAGAGCTGGGCATCTGAGGATGCTTCACTAGGCAGGCTAGCTGAAGAAGGCAGAAGGAATGGCAACTCTTGTCACTTGCATACCAGTAAGAAAGGACAAATCAACGTATTCCTCATGCCTAAAGTAGCAAAGGGTTAGGGCTGAAAATCAAGAGCAGGCTGATTATATTTCCAGGTATATTAAAAACCAACCATGTCAATGTTGGTTGACAACAGAGCAAGAATCCTGTCCTTCATTGATTCTGTGAGTGTATGAATATTTCTTCATATAGATGCTATCAACACTTGCAATAAAATTATGGGGAAATAACACTTTTTTCCCCCCATTCTAACAAGGAAGTATAAAATTCATTTGAAAATACATTTTAAAATGCCATGTGGGTGGGGAGTTAGTCCAGTCTGAACCCCCCACAGGGGGGGCGAACCAAGAAGGGAACATAAGAGATCAACAATGGGAGCAAAGCCACAAAGCCCCTGAGAAACCCCCAAAATAGACCTCAGGCTAGGAGGCACAGCTCCCGGAATTCTCCCAGGACCAGAGGAAAGAGTGTCCTAAAGGTCAGTGCCCAGACCTAGAATTATGTATGCTTTTTTGTTCGTTCGTTTGTTTGTTGATTATTATCATCTTTTTGTTTTGTTTCCTTTTCTCTTTCTATTCAATCTTTTGTTTTCTTTTTGTTTGGTCTCTGTAACTATTGGTTTGCCTACTTATAGAAGATAGACATGGGAAGAAGCAAGCTTGAGGAGAAGGTGACAGGACTGACAGTTCCGGAGACTGGCGGGAGAGAAGGAGGTGAAGGAAGGGAGCGGTGAGCAAACAACGCATAGACAGGAGAACAACTAGGGAATTGAAATCAACAATGAGGAGGACGTAGAGATCCTGGGGGTGTTGGACAACAGCAATCTATCTGAGAGGAATTACTAAGAGGCAGAAGAAGGGCGAGCATGATGGTGTGACAGGAAGGAAGTAAAAGAAAACAGAGGAAAGATCTAGGAAGCAAAGCTATGGATAGAGGTATAAGCATAGCTGTGTGCACATGTAAAAACATTAATTGATAAAAATAGAGAAATTGGTCTATGTACATATATTTATTTATATAGCAATACACTGAGGTAGTGGATGGATTTCAGGCCTCTGCTCATGCCCTCCCTCAATGCAAAAACACTTTGTTCTAACAACCTGGCATTCCGTGAGCTCATCCTCACGGCACAGTCGCTGAAGACAAAGCGAGTGCATAAGCAAATGTGATGAAGAAAGCGGATGGTGCCTGGTTATCAAATGATACAGTGTCTGGGGTCTTAAAAGCACAGCAATCTAGAAGAGAAGCAACAAGCCCACATGGAAGAAGCACACTAGCCTGTGTGATCACAAGGGGATCATCTAACAGGCACCAGAAAACCCCAAACAAACAAAAAAATCCATACTGTTGAGAACGGGGGGGTGGGGAGTGGGTGGGAGGGGGGATGAGGGGGTGTCAGAGCAGAGGCTCAAAGCCCATCTTTAAACAATGGGACATATCCTCACAGAAGGGTCACAAAGTAGGGATGAGTCAACCAGGGCACAGTACAGCACTGATGAAAAACACAATATTCTTCTGGTTCCTTGAGGCTTCCTCATCCCCCACTTCATGACCTCAGTCCCGCCTTTCACTGCTGGGTAGACTGGAACATGTGCACAGGTACAGATAAGAGATCACAACACACAGAATCCAGGAACAGGAAGTGGAGTAGCAATAATAGGTCCGTAGGGGAGAGGAGGAGAGAAAGAGGATATCCACACATAACTCCCCCCCACCCCAAGGGGACAAACAACAGAAACCATAGGGAAGGGAGACAGTGGTGTAAGATATGAAAATAATAATAATTTATAAATTATCAAGGGGTCACAAGGGGGTAGGGGAGGAGCTGATACCAAGGGCTCAAAAGAAAGTAAATGTTTAGAAAATAATGATGACAACATATGTACAAATATGCTTGATACAATTGAAGTATGTATGTATCTATACATACTAAGAAAATTCTATAAGTCTGTGGAAGACTTGAAGATACTTTGAGCAGTTTTTCTTTTTTCACAGAACAACATTATAGACCATTTATAATATTGGGAAGGTGGGTTTAAAGGCCGGTCTTATTGCAAGCCCATTACAAAAGGCATTGATACATTTGAAATGTATTCTTATTGGTTCACTTGCTTTACCAATCCCAGCCAAAGCAATTATTTTTGCCAAAAGCACCACAGAAATCGAGTTCTAGTCTCATTAACAATTTTTCATAAATACCATCAACCAATTGATCTCCATTTTGTACTTCAGTTTACTTTGTGGAATGATTTTCTGGGCCCAGGTAGCATCACTAAGTAATTATTTAATGAAATACATCTACCATTCTTTCCCAAATTAATGTATAGATGTGAGCAGCTCTATAGTCACATGACGGCACTTTTTTTCCTTTGAAACATATACCTTTTGACCTCCTGGAGCTTCGACGGTGTGATGTTCTTTCAATTTCTGCTCTTGCTCCATTATGTCTTTCAAATGTTCATTTACCTTAAAATATAAAAAATTTTATTTCAATGTATACTCTAATATGACGATAAAATAACATGCACATAAAAATGCCTATGATGGATATCCCAACGTCAAATATCAATACCACTCATATGAAAATTAAATTTTTCCAGCAACAAAAAGTAGAGTTAATATTCTGAAATTAACTCATTAACTGAACAAGTATTTAACACCTATAGTATGTCAGGAACTGCTAACTTTAGTTTTAATGCATTTGTGCAACTCAAGAATTAAAAAAAGGAAAAAGAATCTTAAAGGTACTTATGAAAGCACCCATCCACGGCTTAGAGGCAAGCCATATGAAAAAGTCTTGAGGGCTTATGTATTAGTGAGCAATACAACATAATAAACAATGGCTCTGGGAGCACGAATTAGCTCGAAAGGAATTGCTAAAATGACATATGAAAGAAGGTATAAGGCAGTGAGCATGAAGCGTGGGAAAACAAACCGATCAGGGCTGCACTACTGAACTGACAATGAGGGTTGAGTGTCCACTTGAAGTTTGTGACCTTCAAGTGAAACAAGCCCAATTCCTTGACAGGATTTCTTCAGCAACATTTACCTCCATAGTGCAAGGTGAGAGTAGAAGGTAGGACACCTCTACCTGGAAGGTTAGAAGGGCTCAATTAGGGTTCTACCCATTGAATGTCAAGGAGGGAAAAGTAAGCAGAAAAACAGACAGTACTTGCAAGAATGAAAGTTCAAAACTGAGAAATGTGAGAGTCACGATGAAGTTGAAAATATTTAAGTGGCAGGGAGGGAGTGAAAAGAAAGTGAGTTGTCATGGCAGGAAGAGCTGTTTAAGAAGGTGAAGTCTGCAACAGAAAATGAAAGTCTCACAGTGTCTGATGCCATCATGATTCTCTGTAGCGGGGATGAGGATCACTAATGCTAAACAGGTAAAGTATGGGGGCAAAACGCTGAGTGAGCCTTCTACATCAGCAGTGATAGTACGGACAATGATGACGTAAAAGCAGCTGTTCACTTGGCTTCCTGCTACAGCACTCAAGGAAGCACACCTGAACACACAACCTCCTTCATGTCTGCTCAGTGCTGGGGTTTTGGAGTAAACTATGTGAAGTAAATTAAAGTGCATTGAGAGGATTTAACTTCTCAAATTGGCAAAAGGAGTGAATAACTGGCTATTTAAGCATCTTCAGAACACATATAATTAATCACAGCTCTATAAAAGTTCCAAAGAAGAAGAATAATCCACTATCCACATCAAACAAACCTAAGAATTCCCTAATTGCAAGTGAAAGAAGATTATTCATTCTTGGATCAAACTATATCTACCACACTAACGAGCTACTATACTCTGACCTCTCTAATAATCTGGTATGAACTAAATTACTTATTATAAAAACGCACTGTCATACTGAGTCAATTCTGACTCGTATCAACCTATCCAGGGTTTCTGAGACTCAATCTTTACAGGAGCAGACAGCCTCATCATTTTCCTGCTGAGTGGCTGGCAGTTTTGAACTGCTAACCATTTGGTTAGCAGCACAATGCCTATCCCACAGAAACTATGGGGTACTGCTACCAAGATGTCAGGTATTGTTAAACATCTAGAAACTGATTTCCATCATTTGAACAACTTTTTTTTACACTGTCACAGATCAAAAAGAAATAGGATGTTTTAAGCATTAGCTTTCAACTTGGATTGAAAACAGAAGACATAAGGAAACGATAACATCCCACTTAGGGTTTCACTGTTTATGTTAATGAGACTCCTTTTTACTTTAGTAATTACAATCCTACCTTATTTATCCAGTACATGACAGCATCCTCAATATCATAGGGCAGGTCCGTTGCTTGAAAAAAGGCTGAATACTGTTGGGCACACGCAATTACCTTCTCGACACTGACCATTTCCACAGTGTACGCCATCATCAGGGTGTCTACCACGGCCAGATGTGCACTCTGAAAACACAAAACAAGCAGGAGAGCATGGTTTAAAAGTGCACTTAGAACTGCGCTTTTCATCTTCTTAAGTTAACATTACTTTAACAAGCAAGAGAACTAAGACTTCAGAAGACGCGAATGCGATGCATAAACGGCGCATGCGAAAGAGAAACCGTGTGAGCCAAAGCAACCTGCCATCCTGGCACTTCCCTCACATCTCCTGCTCAAGCACGCTCCTTTTCCTACTCTTGTTTTGGTCATGGCAACCCAATTTACAAACTTCAGGATCATCCTTGACTAGCCTTTTTCTTCCTTCTTCACATTCATATGCCATGGTTTTGAAAAATACTAAACGTTATAGTAAAACTTTATGGATCCTACCTAAAATCTCTCTCAAATTTTCCCTCTTCCTCATTCTGACTGCCTCACCAGTCCAGTTTAGATCATCAACATTTCTATAGAACTGGCAGTAAGTTAACCAGTCCCCTCCCCCGCCACCATCACCATCACCACCACCCCCCACCCCTGCAAAAAAAAAAATCCTTTAATTTTCCTGCCTTTAACTGTTTCCTCTTCCTGTTCATCCAGGATTTTCTGTTGGCTTCCCCCTCCCCCCTAAACAAACAAGGTTATATGGCGGTTTGGGGGTGAAAGATGGCTTCTACTCCCATAGAGTTACAGTCTTAGAAACTCACAGGGGCAGTTCTACCCTGTCGTACAGAGCATACCATGAGTCAACAGCCAGTGATATTTTCATTTGTTTGTTTATGGTGGTTTAAAAAAAATCCTAAACATTGCACACAAGTCCGTAAAAAGGGCCTCTCCCTAGCACCATTACCCCAATGGTAACTAGTTTGGTAAAGATTAAAAGAAAAAAAAAAGTAACCTACCCTCAGTAGGCAGGCATTTGTTTCCCAGTCTTGCTAAGGAGCCCTGGTGGCACAGTGTGGTAAGCACTGGGCAGTGAACTGAGAGGTTGGCGGTTGGCTATTTCAAACAATACAACACTGACTTCCTCCTTCTAGGGCTAACACACAGTTATGGGACTATTGGGTCCAAGGACAAACCCATTGTTTGGTTTTCTCGAAAAGGGTGGTATCCAAGTTTATCTCCCACCAAGAATGTCTTCAGCATTCCTGCTTCCCCCAATTCTGTTCATTTTTCCCCTCTGAAATTAAAAAAACAAACAAAAAACCCCATCCGCTTCTGTTTGGCTCTGCATTTCTCAGATTACTAATGAGGCTACGGACCTTTTCATAGAGTTCACACTCATTTACATTTCTGGTTTGGAAAACTAGGCAAAGGTATGGCTAGAAAACCTGGCAACTGACTTCTGAAACATCGTCAATAAAAACCCTATTGATCTCAGTACCATCCTAGTGTACACAGGGTTCCAAGGGTCTGGGCTGAAAGCAACCATCATTCTACACTGACAACCTACCATTGCCTTCCCCCCACTCTACTAAAATAGCCATTCAAGACTGTTTAACCCACTGCCATCATGTCATGCCAACTCATCGTGAGCCCACAGGGCAGGGCAAAACTGCCCCTGTGAGTTTCTGAAACTGTTTATGGAAGTAGAAAGCCCTGTCTTTCTCCCTCGGAGTGGTGGTTTTGGACCGCTGACCTTGTACATCACAGCTCAATGTATAACTACTTAGCCACCAGGTCTCATCCCTAAATCTGGTCTAAACCTTACTCTAAGAAGTCTTTCCAATTAGAGCAACTCCTTCCTCCTGGGTTCCTACAGATACTGTCAGGCCCTTGATAACATTCTGACTTAGTATCTAAAGTAGGGCATGAGAATTCGTATTTTTGAAAAGCATCCCCACTCAAAATTCTTATGAGGAGCCAGTACAGAAAACCACTGACTTATATGACTATTTACAGTGACCTATGCACAACTCTGCTTATTTAGGGAGGCAGTAAAACCCCTGAGGCAAAGACATTATCCAAAGTTATTTTCGTATTCCTGCATCTAACGTGGTGCCTAGAAACTAGCAGGGATTGAAGAGAGAGGCAGAAGGAACAAATCCAATCCACTGACCACTATAAAGATTAGAGGCTTCACACTGCAGGCTGGGGACAGAGATTTGACCATATTGGGAAGTGATGGGCCCAGCCTCTATAAATTTAGCAGTATTTGGAAGAAGGCAGATTCTCTGCCTAGGGCAGAATGTTTTACAGTTACAATCATAAAACCAAGGCTGACTCCTATTAATTAGGTCTAAGTTACATGCCAGATACTTTAAAAAAGTACTTGATTCCCATATTAGTTCTTCCTGAAATAAGGCTGAGAATATTCAATAAAAGTCCTCACAACTTTCTGAAGGAAGTGTCAGTAACATTTTATATGTGAGGAAGGGAAGGAGGTCAGGCAATGGAGAAGCTTGTCCACCCCTCTGTTCTGCCCAGTGTTTCATGCAGTGGGCAGTATTAATTCATTCAGTGGCAAAGGCAAGAATTTATCAAGATACTGTACCACACGAGAAAAATAAGCCTCAGAGATTACGATTACGTGCGAGTCTCAGAGCTTTTTCTTGAACAGCTACTGCCCAAACACCCCAGTTCTTCCTCCAGCCTCAGCAGCATAGCCTCCACTACCGCTATCCAGTTACTCCAGTCACTGGTCTGCCGACGACCTCTCCAGTGCACATAGCCCTCGGGAGGGCAGACGCTGCCTTCATCTTTGCTCCCGGGACAGCGTCTGACACATGAAGACTCCTGGCAAATGCTCATCTAAACCGCATTTGAAAGCATACTGCTTTTGGACAAAAATGTGGAAAACATCTCAAGTACCCTTTAATCAAGTTCCTTTCTTTTGGCAACTTGTTCTACAGATATAATTTGGAAAGGGGTGGGGAAGAGAATGGCAAAGTACGGTGTACAACAACAAAGAAAACAGTATTAACAGTATTAACCCATATGGAGTTAAGTTATGGCATATTCAACTATTTCATATGGGAAAATGTGTACAATGCATCAGTGAAAAAACACATCATGCTACAGTAATGCTATCCACCGTAGGTCCCCACATTTATTTGGCCTACCACCTCAATTTCAGGGAAAAGCGACTTAGTGTCCCTCTGGCCGTTGTTGAAAATGCTTGTACTCTAGCCCACACTCCAAGATAAAGTGGAGGGATCTGCTTTTGCAGCCCCTGGATCATTCCAGGGCCCCCAGAGGGCAGAACTGCCCACTGGGGGAAACACTGTTCACACACATGAAAACAAGGGAAAAGAAACTACTTTTTGTACAAAATATAAGACACACTTATAAAATCTACAGTTTCCTTCAAAAATGGGGATAGTAAACCCTAATTACTAATACATTTTCAGAACCAATTCACTAAACTGAGTAAGAAAAAAAACCCTAAAGTAATTTCACTGCTGTTATTATAGTTATCTCCATGTAATAAATGCCCACTTTTATTTCAGCCCCTGGTCCCAATTCGTGGATGTATTTCTTTATTAAGCAGTTACAGCTCAACCATTTGTCATGTGGAAAAATCTCGAATCCTGGTGATTAATCACAATGGGACCCAGTTGTAACTTATATGCAACATTACTTATTTTGGTAACAGTTCATATGGAAACTGTCATATCATTGACTTGATTACAGTGAACCCTCGCCACTTCGCGCTTCGACTTCCGCGGCTTCACTCTATCGCGGTTTTTGCGTAACAGCGCATGCTCTGTCATTACTGCCACTGATTGGCTCATACTGTACACGCTTGATGCCATAAATAATATAATAAATAATAAATGATAATTGTAACGTCCAAAATGTTTTACTGTATTTTCCCTTTTTCGTTTAATAAGTTGGGTAATACGAGTGTAATGGTGACTAAAGGGTGTTTTTTCATGTCCTCTATGCTCTAACTACGAAAGTATTTGATTTACAAATAAGGAATCCTACTTCGCGGAATTTCATTTACCACGGTAGGGTCTAGAACCGATTAACCGCGATAAGCGAGGGTTCACTGTATATTTCAAATAAGGAATGGAAGTGGTTTTCAAAGAAAGTTAGCTTTTTTTTAAAGTACATTTTTTGATTCCAATAATTCAGTGACATAAAATGAGCCCAGAAAGAAAAGAAATTGAAGACAATAATAAGACTTAATTCATGGAGTTTCTATTCTACTTCCTATTAGAATAGAATAAAAATATCGTATTACTAAGGTGGCTAAATAACCAAACTAATTCAGCATTTGTGTAAAATGACTTGCCAACTTTAAACTGTTGAATTTTTTTGTGAACATGTAGCTTTTAAAGAGATCTGTAAACTATGCATGATGGAAAGTCTTGTATTTTGCTAAGAAATGGCTGTTGGCTTTCCTCACTACATCTGTGGAATCATGGATGTAAATTTACTTGCTTAGCAAAAAAAATGCCCACTTATAATTTAAAGCAAACAAACTCATTGTCATCAAGTCTCATAGTGACCGACGGGACAGGGTAGAGCTGCACCTGTGGGTTTCTGAGGCAGTTTGTAAATGTAAAATTATGTATTAACAGTATACATAATAGATCTGTAAGAGACAGACATTAAAAAATAAATTAAAGGCTAAAATCTTCAAACAGGCCATTATGGTTCCAAATAAAACCATTTATCTCTAATTTCATACCTAAAGATCATCACCATAATCATCACTAATATCATCAATGTAGTACCTTCAGCATTTTACATGTATTGACCTCATTTAAAAGGAGCCCTGGTGTGGGAAACAGAACCTGGAAGAGAGCGTATGCAGACAAACTCTCAACGTTCATACGCTAAGTAGTCTGGGAGGCCAAGGCTCTCGTGGAGGGAACCTTCATGTTCGTGGGTTGGAGATGGGTCCCACTCACATTCTCTTAAGTAAAAGTTATTCTCCTCAATGTCCCTCTATAGTAGTGTCATATCTAAGGTGATGTTTGCAAACACGTGGTCACTGACTATACACTTGAACGTCAACTGCTTGAAGGTTATCTGTTCCACCCTGAGTAGGACTCACTCCCTTCTGCTAAGGTTAATTA